GGAAGAAACTGGGAAGGGCAAAATCCGGCTGGGCAGAGCAGGGGAGAGGTAGTGCAAGGCAGAGGTAATTAAGAGGAAGATCCAGTTCCACCCCTTCTTCATCCTAGGGTACGCAGAGAAGAACTGAGAAGGGAGCAACGTGAGTTGCGTGGCTTGCAGGGGGGGAAAGGGCTCTGGTTCCCTTCATTAGCTGCAGCTGGGAACATAGTGTTTAAAAAGGGAGGTTGTGCACAGCAACTTGCTGGAAGAAAATTGTGAGTTATTTTTTATTGTTGAGGCTTGTTGAGGCTTATCTGGGTCTTCCCAATTGTGTGTGTTTTGTTGGCCTTTGAAGTCTGCAATTCCTTATCCTGCCCTGTCCAGTTAATCGTTGCAGCATGGTTTGTGTGGATTTTTATTTACAGTTTATATGTACTTTGTTTTCGAACTGAATTTCCTCCACTTAAAGACTGTTTTTGGGAGAGTTTTTCCTCCAGCCAAAGGTAACTGGACATTGGGGGCAAAGTTGAAGGTATTAAAGGGACTTTGCTTGCTTATGTGACTGTGTTGCCTTTGTGCCATGCCCCGGGTCAGCACACCTGCTACCTTTTCCTCTTGGTATCTTATGCTTTATCATTTGTTATTTGTATCTTATAATTTATGATAGCATCTTATGATTTATGATTCGTGTCTTAGCACTTAATTGTTTATATGTACACCGAGAGTTTATGCACCGGAAACAAATTCCTTGTGTGTCCAATCACTTTGGCCAATAAAGAATATTCCTATATTCTTATTCCTAAAGAATCTGTAATTTATTTTGGTTGCCATTGTAATTTAATATTTATTATTATTCTACATATTAAAAAATAACTTTCCCAGTGTCCCCATAGATTGAGATAAATGTTATAATTAAAGGAAGAAAGGGCTTAACTATTTGTTGGAACTTTTAAACTGCTCCTCATCTCAATGTAATTATTTGTAAATAAATAAAAATCATAAGCCTTTTGGTCCAAAGAAAAACAAACATTGAGCTCTTAAAACATTTGGACAAACACTTGTTGACATTAAAAAAAAAAACCGTGCAATGTCTTGTCCCTAAATAGGTGCTTTTTAAGCAATAAAGTTGCATGCAAACTGTCCTCTATTTAAATCACATAAATTCCCAAAGATAATGTTTGGCCTCCTTCACTACAAGTTTTGCTTATTTGGCTTAACAGCAGGGGTGGGATTCTACCAGTTTGCACCTATTCGCTAGAATCGGTTGTTAACATTCTAAGCAGTTCGGAGAACCAGTTGTTAGAAGAAATTACTGGCCTAATCCTGTAAGGAAGGCAGAAAGGAAACATTCTGGTGTTGCTTACAGAAACTGCCTCTCCGTTAATCCTTATTACATTCTTGGCAGGACTAGACTTCCTGTCTCTGGAACTTCTCTGGAGTTTTTTTTTTTCTTCCTTTGCTGGTACTTTGCTTGTGTGGAGTGATCATTCAAAGTTACAATGACACTGAAAGAAGTGACTTATGACCCTTTTTCACACTTATGACTGTTGCAACATCCCTAGAGTCATGAGAGGCCAGGCAAGGAGATGCGTGCCTCAATGCGAGTGATATTGAGTTGGCCACGCCCAGCCAATAACATGACCACCACGCCATGCCCACCAACTAAGCCATGCCCACAGAACCAGTTGTTAAAAAATTTGAATCCCACCCCTGCTTAACAGGAATTATATATCTAGATGCAGAATAATTTCATTTCTTTAACTTTACTTGTAATAGCTATATCATGAAGAAAAGAAACATGACAATACTTATCTTAAAGTTTAACCATTGAACTCTATGTAGAAGAAAGACATGTCTTATTTTGTATTAATTTCTAAACTATCAACACAACTATAAAACTGCCATTACTATTACCTGCATTGGATAAGCTTCATTTCTTGGTTTTGAAGATATGTTTTTGTTGTCTGCCACAGGTATTTTCTCTGACATAGTTCACAGTCTAATTTTGTAAAATAAAATGTATTTTATTTTAAAAATTTAAACCCTCTTGCTTAGTTTTTACTTCCCAAATGAAATTGGATTAAGTTTAGAAAAAAAAACATGAATTGGAAAAATATAACCATCAATGATATCCTCTAAATCATTAGCCCAGTTTATGTGCCAGAGTTCATGAAATGCTATGAAGAAGTTACACAATACTCCAAAAGAACGGCTTAACTTTTTGCACAAAATTTTCATATGAACCACCAAAACTAAAGTATTCTTTTAACAAACAGGGAATTTCTATTTTTATGAAATATTCAAGATATTAGAGCAGACAAGGCAAGACATTCTGAACAATATGGGTAATTGTCTGCTTTAGTTCACATTATTCACTATTTTTTAAAAAATAAAAAGATAACATAGAAACACCTCTGCCACAATGAATATTTTTAAATATATTTTCTTGAATATATCCTCAAAAAACTGGGGGCAAGTTTTTTCTGAATGATGTTTGGTATTCACGTTTTGGGGATAGAGAAACTTCCATTCCTTAAATTACATGTGCCCTAGATTTGTTCCTGATTTAGGATTAACTCCTATAATGTAGAGCTCTGGCTGGGGACTATGGTGAAAATCAAGCATGGATCTTTGGATACAAAGATGCTTTTCCAAAAGGCAACTGGACTTAGTTTTTTTTTTCCTTTGAAAATGGTTTGTTTTTCTTCCAAGAAGTTCCTTCAGTTCTTGGATGAGAAGCTAAACGTTTTCAAGAAACCAACCGAGAAAGTTCAGTTTTGCCTTTTGGAAAAGCGCTTTTTGGGACAACCATGACCTGGATAGCTAAAAATCTCCATAGCAACATAGATCTGTGGATTTGGGGGAAGGAAATCAGATGTGGGAGAGGATTTATATATCTCAGAAAAGCAAGCTGGTTGTATTCTCATCGGACGTTCACAAGACAATAGGGTTGTTTTCCATGTTTATCTTCAGAAATAGCATGCGGAGGACTGGACTTACTCATCTCGCTAAACAGCCTCGGGGTTTAGCCTTTCTGGTTTCCTAAACTCTGGCACACGGCTTAAGGGGCTGTGGGCGAACCTTTGCAACTGGCTTCTAAATCCCCCCCTTGAGGGCGTCCCGAGGCCCCGGTCTGCCTCTCGGAGGTCCGTTACAAAAGTCGAAGGTAGCGCCACTGACCCGTTAAACGTCCCGAGCCACTATGGGGTACAGAAAACCGTGTTTAAAACAGAGGCAGCCTCCTCACTAAGGCTGGTCTGGAGCCGGGGAAAAGTGGGAGGCGCAGGACGGCCGAGGACTACAAGCTCCACCTGCCGCTCCGCCGCGCTCCAAACCAGAAAAGCTGCCTCAGCTTTTCTCAGCTGCCTCTGAGAAAAATAACGGTCTAGAAATAACGGTCATGCCTGTCTGCCCACCCGCCGAAGGGCACCTGGTTCAACGGCGCTGCTGCGGCGCTCAGCAGTGAGGAGGTGTGTGTGTGGGGGTGTGTGTGTGTGTCTGTAATTGCCCTGCAGCAAGAATTCCCCCAATTTGCTTTCCTCTGTATTTCCGCGCAAGGAAATCCTTTGGAGGAGATCCTGAGCTCAGCCCCTACCCTCCGGGGACCCAGAGGGCTGAAAGAGTTCGCTTTTTCCTACCTTTGCCAAAGAGACAAATGTAAGTATAATAAGTGGATATTGCAGCCACTTCAAACATTGTACTCCAAGGAGGCTTCTCAGTGATTTGTAGATGGAGTGGAGAGAAGTATGTAATGGCCTGGGCAGTCCTGGGTCCTCTTCATGAATTATTTGGTGAATGAGAGGGATGCGTTTTAAATTTCTGGATGCTATGAAATGGTGTGGTGGGGTGGTGCATATTGACAGTGTTTCTCAACTTCAGGGGCTTAAAGATGCATGGACTCACAACTGCCCCACATCTGAAGTCCACACATCTTAAAAGTCTCTGAAGTGGAGAAACTTCTCTAGAAAACAAAATCCAAAATTATCTTGACAGGCTGGTGAAATGGGGAGGAAGCTACACCATAAAAAATTAAGAGAGAGATAAGTTACAAAGGTATTTATTTTGGAAACACAATCCATAGATTGGTGCTTAATAACTACTTGTGAAAAAGATCTTGGAGTCAAAGAGCTGCGTCAGTACTAGTATATTTCTCAAATCATAAAGTAATGTTTATTTCACTGAGTCTTGGTGAGTTATCTCTAGTATTGCGGTATTCCGTCTGGTTCTGCACAGCATACTAATTTTGAGAAATCAGAACCGATTCAGAGAAGGGGAGGAGTGAATGCACCCTGTGAAGCTTGAGAAAAATTGAGCTATGTAATAGAAATATATGAGAGGATGAATATCTTTGGAGATTCTCAGGCATCCAGATCATTGTTGTCTCAAAGATGCTTTTTCAAAAGGCAACTAGACTGTTTTTTTTTTCTTTGAAGAAGAAAATGTTTCCTTTTTTCATCCAAGAAACTTCATCAGTTGTGATGGCAGGGCGATGGAAGGATCTGTGCTGACAGTTGAGACTGCATGGTGGGGGATGGATTAAGGCACATATGGATGTTTTTTCAATAAAACCATATTTTATTTCATAGTATTTATTGTAATTTTTTTGTAGCCCACTTCAATATGTATATTCTGGGCAATGTAAAACAGTGCAGGACATAAAAAGGAGCATATAAAATATTAGTACTCTCCCCCCAGTTGTCAGAAACACTGAAGTCCACTTGAATTTATCCAGGTCCTGGAGAATATGGGTCTCCCTTTTCTTGTAGTAGTCAAACTGGTGCTTCTTGCCATACCTATCTCTGCCTGTCATATCCACAGTGGGCCCCCATTACAACATTTCTTTCAGTGGTGGGATTCAATTTTTTTTTTACTACAAGTTCTGTGGGTGTGGCTTGGTGGGCGTGGCAGGGGAAGGATACTGTAAAATCGCCAGTCAGAGGTGATATTTGCTGGTTTTCCGAACTACTCAAAATTTTTGCTACCAGTTCTCCTGAACTGGTCAGAACCTGCTGAATACCACCTCTGATTCCTTTCCTCTATTTATCTTGCCATTCTCTCATTCAACATACATACCACAAACAAGCTATCTCTTAAGGACACTTCTAGCCTGTCATCCACTATTTACACATGTAACACTCCAATTATCCACAACACTGTTTGTATAAAATCTACTTTAACTATACTAATTCACTCTTCCCCTCAGAGAAAACTTCAGGCTGTATCTCAACCCTAACTATTTTCCCACCACAAGAGGAAGGGGTGGAAATCTTTATCAATAATCCCTTGTTCTCACCCAGGCAGTGCACCTAAAAGATTTCTGTTAACCCAGGTATGTTTAATCTCAACAGCTTCATTTATCCTTCAGTTCTTTAAATATATTGTAATTCAGCAGCAACTAATCTTTTCACCTAATAAACCATTAACCACCAAAAGAAAAGCTGCAAGCGACTAAGAGCTAATATTGACTCTAAACAGCTCCAACTTATGTGTCATCTTAAAAATATGTACACATATTTTGAAGATCTGCAGTGTATTTCATAGGCCTTTAAACTTCTCTAAGTGTAGATACCATGATTCATAAGCAGTTTCAATTCAGGTGATCTTGTGGACAGCACTTCATATCTCCCTATGCTGGCCCATGTATTTCTATTCCTTCTCTTTCTTCATATGTATGACTTTCTCGGTTGGTATCAGAAGTCTTGTGGAGAAGTTTGGGCCCTGCCAGCCCAATTATTAGAGCTCCAATTGGAGCTGTGATTAAGATTGCCAGGAAAGCAATTGTCAAAACATCCATGCCATATTTCTCTAATTGTTTATCTTTCTGCTCCCGTGCTGTATCTAAGGCAACTGAACCAATTGCAGCCTGTCAAGAGAAAGGAAATAATAGATAACACAGCAAAAGAACGTTTTAAAAATACAGCACAAAAGCTTGTTTCATCGAACACTGTACACTATACAGCAGCTAACTAGTGGATAAGAAGCCCTTCCTGCTGTTGTTCCCCAGCAACTGATATTTAAGATGTGCTATCTAGTTTTCAGGTGACCGCACCTAGATAGACTAGCAACCATTAAAAGACCAATCCTCACGGAATTTGGATTGCCCCTTTCAAAAGCATCTAAATTGGTGTCCATCTAATGAAATGAATTTTATGACTTATTTTAAGCGATTCTCTACATTGAAATTCAACGTAGAAGAGGACTGCATTGTAAGTTACTGTTTTGATAGGATTATCTCTTCCTTCATATAATATTTTCAAATTTTGATTTACTGTAATCAGTAAGTGTTTGAGTACTATACCTGATGAGAAGTATAGTAGCAAATCTTGCAACAAACTAAAAATCTATTTATAGTGAAGTAATGGTTTAGAATATGTAGTTTAGCTTGTAGCCTTACTAAGGCCCTTATTAACCACTGTTTATGTTTTTGAAGTTCAGCTGGATTGGACTTTCCTGCCTGAGGTTAAGATGCAGAATTGGAAATTTTGGGATACCAAGAAATAGTAGAGGATACTCTCTTTTCTCTCATTTATACATACAAGCAAAATTTGTTTGCAGTGACTTAATATTCATATTGACAACCCTGAAAACATCCTAGAGTTACAAAGAGCCTACACCTTAGGTTGATGATGATGAGGTTCACAGTCCAAAGTCAGGCTTGAACATTTATATTAGACAAATAGTTTCTTATTGCTTCTGGAAAATCTTATGTCTAAATAAGAAGATCTAGCTTTGTGATTCATCTCAACAGTGCTATGGTTTCATACACTTTTCTAGTGTAGATGGATCAGCTCACTAAATTTAGGGAAATGTTTATGATGTTGTAGTATAACTGATGGATTAGTGCTATCAAATATTGTGTTCCTAAGGAGAAATGTGATAATGGGTTGCATATTCTGACTGTGATTGATTTAGCCTGCATTGAAATAAAGACAAAATGCTTGCGGCAACATCCCCATTTGCCGGCTATGGATTGAAGATGGGGAATTTTATTGGACAACAAAGTTTAGCTGTTCAGTTAAAATGTGAATAATGAATGTAACAAAAAAGGAGAGGGAAAAGACCTGAACATAAATTGTTTCAATTCCTTCCCTCAAGATGGTGCTATAGGACATTGTATATCAAAACAACTAAACAGGGACAATATTTCACCCTTGCTGAACACCTAATTCTCAGAGTCTAATGTTGATACTTACCCATATAGTGTGACTGTACTATTATTTATCCTTATCTTCTTTACTTCCTCCCTTTTATTGGTATAATGATGATGATGCTTATAGGTAATCCACAACTCACAACAGTTTGTTTAATGACCGAAGTTACAACAGCACCGCAAAAAATAACTTATGACCATATTTTACACTTGTGACCGTTGCAGCATCCCCATGCTGACATGATTTGCATTTGGATGTTTGGCAACTGACTCATATTTATGATGGCTGTAGTGTCCCAGGGTCATGTGATCATCTTTGCAACTTTCTGACAAGCAAAGTCAATGGGGAAGCCTGATTCACTTAACAACCATATTAATAACATCTGCAGCGATTCACTTAACAAATATGGTAAAAAAAGAAGTAAAATGGGATGGGATTCTACTGGTTCGGCCCGGTTCTATAGAACCGGTAGCCCCAAAGAGCAGCTGATACTGAATCGGTTCGCTCAGAAAATCTTCTTTTCTTCGGTTGGGCCCACCCACCCCCTTGGACTCTAGGCTGCCCTTTATTCCCTGCTAAAGCAACCTTAGTTGCTTTCCGTAGCACAAGTGAGTGCCGCACATCAGCAGGAGAAGGTTATTGCTTGCAGGAGAAGTTGATTTACAACTGCACGTGCATGCACACAAAGCATGCGCTCACCGAACCGGTTGTTATGCCAGTAGGATCCCACCCCTGGGCAACACTCCCTTGACAAATGTTTCCCTTAGCTACATAAAGTTTGCTCTCAGGTTGTAAGTTAAGAACTACCTGTATTCTGTTGCTCTGCATATATATTGAGTGCTTCTATATTGGGATTCCTTATGTGGCTAATCACACTTGGGCAAATAAAGTATTCAACTTAACTCAACCCCATTTCATTCCATTCAACTTCTTGGAAGATTTGAGGTATTCAGTTAATTTTATTTCCAGAAGACAGAATTCTGCCATAAAAATGCAATATACCTGCACAGTAGCTTTGGGGATCCAAGCCAATGCAATAAATATTCTCTCTTTCAGCTCAAAACCAGCAAAACAGACCAATATAAAAGTGGCTGTAACTCGGGCTATCAATCCAACAGCCAGTATGGCAATGCAGAGTCCTGAAACAAAGAAATAGATTTAATTATTTCTGGTATTTAAAAAAAGAATCATCTCCACTTCAGTTTTTGAGATGATTCTTTTTTTTAATACCAGAAATAATTTTCCTTCTGATTAGCTAATCCCTCCAAAGACAATAGGCATAAATGCCTACTTGTTAGTGGAAAACTTACCAACTGTTTGAGGATCAAGAGATGCAACGGATATTTCGGCGCCAATTAAACCAAAAAGAAAAGGTTGGAAAATCTCCCATGCAACCTTAATAATTTTTTCTACCTCTTTCTGCAAAACAAGCAATGCATTTTTGTTGCACGGTATTGTACATTCATGCAGAAGATATATAACACAAGCTTAATTATTATAAGATTTTCAAAAAATTAAGCGATCCATTTATATGATTTGTGTTCTTGCTCTCATTTTAGGAAGAGTGATGCTATCATTATAAAGATGACATTGTATCTTTCAAATATTAAGATATTAAGGATTCTTCTAATAACTTAATAGGAGCTTTGAAATTATAAATATTCCTCCTTTTAGGAGGAATACCCTTACCACAAACACAATTTAAGGCGATACCATCTTTTAGTTATTTCTATAACATTATAGAAGTAATTAAAAAGATGGTAGTTCTTTTCCAGGGTTCTCCTTTTTTCTGTTCTCACCTAGTCCCATTCACTTTTATTCATAATACTCAATAGAGATGTATACTAGCTTCATATTTTTTTCCAGAACGTTTGCTTTGATTGAAAGGGGAGAAAAAATAAGCCACTAAGCTAAGAATCACTGTATACTGTAATGCAATATTAGCACCATTTCCTCCATTTTTTTCAGAAACTGAATGTCACTGCTTATGAACTCAGGAGGATACATTTAGAGGAAGAAGATGGCAGACTCAGAGAAACCCTCAAATCTGTGGAAATATTTTTTTAAATACGCATAAATCATAGGATGGGGAACCTCAAAATAGCCTACAAATAAATGGCTAAAATATGGAACCGAAGTTGAAACATTTTTTTACACTTTCAACTTGCCCATAATATTTCATAAACTCTCATATTTTGGAATCAAGATGACTTTCTAGTTACATGATAATTAAATACTCACTTTTTCTTCGGACCACGATAATCCAGCCAGAAATGCCAAGACAATTGTGCACAGTCCTCCAGATCCAGGGAAATTAAAATACATACTGCTAAAAATTGCAAACATTGATAAGCCTATAATAAAGAATGCTCTCTTCCATACCAGATGTGTCTAAGGAGAGAAATCGGAGAAAGCAAGATACATGATTCATAAAGGTCAATCCAAACTTGACAAGAAACTTCAAAGAGAATACAATATTTTGGAATTGTATGGCCATGTAAATTCTTGGCAAATTTTGTAAATGTTGCCTAGTATATAAAGTATATAAAGTTAAGTAGGGTAACCTCTGGATAGGGAAGTGGTTGGGAAAAAATTGTTGAATTAAAACAACAGTAAATCACTTTCAGAATGCTACAAAGAAACTCTATAGGTCCTCAATTCAGTTCAAGAAATCTTTACCTTTTCTTTAAAATTAATATACTAGAAATCTTAAGTTGTACTTGCTTGAAAAAGAAATTGGAAAATTAATTTAAAACTCATACAGATATAGGCAGCCTTCAACGTATGACCATAATTGAGTCCAAAATTGCCTCCAAAGCAAGACAGCTGTTAATGAATCATGCCCCATTTTACGACCTTTTTGCTATGGTTGTTAAGCGAATCACTACATTTGTTAAGTGAATCACACAGTCTTTAAGCAAACCTGGCTTCTCTCATTGATTTGGCTTGTCAGAACAGCAAATGATAATCCCAGAATCCTGGGATGCGGCAACCATCGTAAATATATGCCGGGTGCCAAGCATCCAAAGTTTCATCATATGTCCATGGGGATGCTGCAACAGTCGTAAGTTTGAAAACTGTTCATGTCACTTTTTTTCAGAACCATTGTGTCTTTGAACAATCACTAAACAGATGGTTGCAAGTTGAGGACCTACCTACAGTATATAACATTTCTCTTCTATTCATTAAAGCAGCCCAATATTTTTCAGGTGTCTGAATCTGATAAAAGGCATCACTGTTTTAAAGAGTTAATTCTGTAGTGGGATTTTCTTCAAAAGTTTGAACAAAGATCAACAACTTCAGCGAACAATGTAGTGATGTTGTGCTGGTATTTGCAACTCTGACAGATACTAATTATTATACCTATTATTCCAGCTAAAGTGTAACAGGGAGTTTGTTTTAAATGTGCTGTTTCTTCTCATGCTTCAACAAATACAAGACTGCTACGTTTCAAATGGTTTTTTTCCCCTTACCTGATCCTTGCTTGGAAAGTAGCGAATAAAAAGGCCTAAAAGTCCACCTGTTGCTATACCTACTGCAACTTCTAATACACCCCGAAAGACATTTTGAAGGGTGGAACCTGTTTTGGCAAAGCAGAAAAAGAGGATTCCAATGGATTTTTGGATAGTCTCCACAGCTAGCATTTATAAGCATGGCTGGCATCCCCCTTATGTTAGCAGTGAGTGAGCGCCTGCACGCACTCTTCATTTGCAAGAGCGGCAGGCATGCACGCATGGTGCTCACATAAGTGGAGCTGTGTGCATGTGCACGCTTATCCGCTGCTTGCATGAAACCATCCCCCCACCCCCACCCCAGTCCGCAAAGCCAGAAAGTTTGGGGAACTCTGTCCTAGACAGTTCAGAGGACTCAGGTGTTACCAAAATGGCATGGTGTGTCACCTGTAACATGCTTATAATAAGTTCACAATTACTGCATTATGCCTTTTAATGGCAATACCTGTCAATAAGAACTTGGTGACATAATTTGTAATACAAATCATTTCTTCTTCATTGAAAGTTTGATCTCTACTAGGTGGTGAAGTATATGTCACATAAGTATATACAGAACAGATAGTAAGTAAATAGGTGCATTAAGGTCTCAGGTTCATCCTGACCACAGGTACAACTTTCCAATTTTATGAATTGTATGGTGTCACAAATAAAGATTTTGGCATAAAATCAGCATGAAAGGGGTTTTTATTTACACAAAGGATATTACTTGTATAGGAGAAACTAGCATTATGACAAAGAAGACAGTAGCTTGGATGTGGCTTATCAATAGAATAGACAGATACCTGAAGCAAATGCTATCCCTAAGCATGTGTTGAAGCCTGTGATAGCCAGAATGTCGTCAAAACTTCCTGCAGCCATTAGTAAAGTTGGGACACCTTTGTCAACACCATATCCTCCTGCTTGTAAAACCAACATTGAGGGGACTACAACTGCAGGAGACACAGCACCTAAGACAAATCTGAACGCATACACACAAGTTAACTTTTAGTTACATCAATTTGCAGTTATTTCTTATACTTTTCACAGTCAGAGTAAGATCTGCAATTTACAAGAGAAAGGGAAAACTGAAGAACTGTCCTGTGAGTTGAAAAATCACAGTATAAAAGTACTAATTTTATTTATGAAAAATTATATGGCTACCCAACTCATCCCAGTGACTCCAGGTGGCTTACAAGGATACATTTTAACAATACAAATGGCATTAAGCCCTACCCTCCTGATGACAACAATTTTGAACCATTTGATGGGCTCCATGCCATTCTGGGTCCCTAGGCCTGTTGGCAGAATCATATGTTGAGGGCCTTGTGAAAAAGTGCCAAGGTGGGGGCCAATCTTATCTGTGCAAGGATGTTGAAAGCCCTTCTTGCTCCCATCAGAAGGAGTTCCTTAGGAACTATTCCCTGCCTCCCTGCTCTGGTGTATTGGGTAGATCTGATGGGCAAAATAACTTGATCCCAAGCCAGCACACTGACTTGGATCTGGAACCAAATCGGCAGCCAATGAAGCTCCCGCAAGAGAAGTGACACACCTGCAATTGTAACCCTGCACAAAACCACCTTCTGCATTTTGAACCAAATAAAACTTCCAGCTACTTTTCAAGGGCAGCCTCGTGCAGAGACCATTGCAATCGCCAAGATGGAAGGTGTTACTAAGAACCATTTTATGTTTAAGAATATAGGTTGATTCCTTGAAGCACACTGGATTGACATAATATAGTACTGTAGATCATAATTCTTTATTCTGGTTTAATGTATGAGCCCAACTATTGGAGTTTGTAAATAAAAGTAGTTGTTGATCATTTGTAATCTACCTTTGATTCAGGAGCTTAAGGTGCTATATATAACATTCCATTCTTCTATTTTCCCTGAGAAAAATAACACTGTGAAATAAATTGATCACCCAGAGTGCTTTTGGGGCTGAGAAAGAACTAGAAGCTGAATCTTTCTGCTTCTAATCTAAGTGCTTCACCGTTAAACTACACGTTTGTGGTTCAGCATGTTATGTGAACCATCCAGTCATGGTTTATTAAGAAATTGTTGTTAAAGATACGTCTTAGCAAGATGTTTTTGAAGACTTCTGAACAGGATTAAAATTTTCCTTCGAATTAAAGATGGTTTAACCTATGTTTTCTCATCGAATATGCAACTTTGTAAATTCCAGATATATTTATAGAACAGAGTTTCAAATCCTACCCTAATCCTCTGTGGTGTGACAAGAACATATGTTTTACAGCATAATTGAACTAAATCGGATGTGACACCGGCACTGTACCCATGACTTCGTGGAAGAGGAAAGACGGTTTTGGCCCAGAAAAGAAAAGAAAAAAAATGCTATTTTTGAGTTGGAAGAAGGGCTTACCCAAGCATAAATCCCCATTGCCATGGCAGGTGCATGAGAAAATGAGATATGACTGCCGCTGTACATGCTTCTATTAGGCAGGGTCCCAAGCTTAATCTAAAGCAGACACCCTTTAGTTTTTTCAGAGCCTGCAAGATAAATGCATTTGCAAGTCAGTGGAATTGCTTTTTAAATGTTTTGAAGACCATAGAAGAAAACCCTAGGAGATTTGCTCTATTTGGCAATGGCCCAAGACTTGCTTCAGGAGGTTTTATGAGACAGTTTTTCATTGTTCTGGTTATCTGAATAGCCTAAGCACTATGTTTTAATGATTTTCTTTTCTGCTGTGTATGTTTGTTGGTTATTTGTTACTTTTAATTATGTACACTGCAATGAGTCACATATCTAATGGAGGGCATATAAATTGAATTAGTAAGAAGTAATGCAGATAGAAAAAGGGTGCATCTAAGTTCCCTGTTGGCCAACCTGTGTTAAAGTAGTGTGATCAATATGTTACATTTTATTTTATTTATTATTTTATTTTATTATTATTTTATGCCCTGGGGTCACTCTTGATCTCTGGAGATTCTGTGGACAAATCCCTGAAGTTTTCTTGGCAAGATTTCAGAAGTGGTTTGCCATTGCTTCCTTCTTGGGGGTATGAAGGAAGCAAAAGAAGGAAGTAAAAAAAGCAAAACTAGAACAGTTTTTATCGTGATGCCTTAACCACTGCATCAAACTGGCTCTGCAAAATGATGGGGATGCCATAAAAATGTGAGTATCTACTAGATGGCAACAAATAAACACAGGGATCCCAACTGGCTTTTTACCACCTGTAAAAAGCCCTATGTAGTAAGCATGCTGCTTTAGAAAGGGTGGTAGGACTGAGGATTTTCTCTTATGTAATGAATTTACAGTGGTTTTGCTGGTGCAAAAAACAGGAACAGGTAAATTGTAGCACTCCAGACCTAGCTGAATTACAGTTTCCAGGTTTCTTCACCATTGCAGATGCTGGCTCAGGCTGCTAAGAACTATAATATGGCAACATTTAACATATCACAGGTTTAATGTATTTGCATAAAGGATTAAGTCTAATCTGACACATGTTCTTAATTTTATATAACAAAGTAAAAAAAAATCAGCAAAAAGGAGCCCAGTATTTTACATCTATTCTAGTTCCAACCTTTTTGGCCAGAAGCCAGAAAAGAAAAGTTCAATACAGATTAATTAGCCTAGATGACATGAGGAACTTAGATTGAGATACATTAATTGTAAATTTGATTACAGGTTATGATTAAGGCCTCTACAGATAGATCCATGGTCCAGATTCAGATAATATACTATATGAGTGACATAATATATTGTACAAACACAGCCTTAGCATCATGGCAATACTGAACCTTAAAAAGGCTTAGGTATGCTCCAGAGGTGGTATTTTTCAGCAGGTAGTGGAAATTTTGAGTAGTTTGGAGAACTGGCAAATACAACCTCTGAGTGGAGATTTTACAGTATCCTTTTACAGTATCCCTGCCACGCCCACCAAGCCATGCCCACAGAACTGGTAGTAAAAAAATTTGAATCCCACCACTGGTACGCTCCTATCAATTTGCATGACTAACAGATGGCGTTTCGAAGAATATGCTAGAGCTTTAGATCCACTACATTGCTAAAGTTCTAAAATAGATTAGTCTTATCACTAACTGAAGGAAGTCAATTTTAATTTACAAATTTATGAAACTGAGCTATGAGCTAAATATAGTGGAGTTATATGTAGTTTTATGAGCTAATATAGTAAAAGTTGCCACAGTTCAGGATTTAGATAATGTCAGCTAATCTCAGTGAAAAGCAGAAGTTTCTGAATTTTTACAATTACCCAGGAAAAGAAGAAAGGGTAGAAATATCTAATCATTAAACTAATTATGCCTCATTACTATAAATCATAGTTTGTGTTACCTCTGAATGAAATTAAAAATTTCTAGGTGAATAGGGATCAGAAGCAGACTAAATTCAGTTAAAGGCAAAACTGATCATAACCCTGAAGATCAAGTACATATGACCAAACTAAGTTTCACATTGATATTTCTTGCTGACCTCAGAAAGTAAGTAATGTTGGACAAATTCCAGAAATGAAGCTTTTTTAAAAAAAAACCCAAACAAATACCACAAACATAGGTTACTCTATCAGAAGAGGATAATAGCAATCTGTTGCCAAGAAAACCACATGGATGTGTCAGATGTCAAGATCTACTGAAAGGAAACTTAATTTTGTTTTCTTTACGAAGTTTTTCCAAAACCTCACATTCTAGGTCAAAATCCCCAAATATCTTTTATAAGAGAAACAGTTCACTTGCACTTAAGGATAATATCCCTGCTCTACTAGGGGCATATAGTTCATTTTTTACCCAGTGATAAACAGGATCAGGAGTGAAATAGTGTTCTTTCGCATGTCCTGGGACTACATATACTGGCTGGGAATCCTGGAAATTAATGCCCAACTCCTCAGGAAAAAACTTGATGGGGAATGTTGAAACATTTAAGTTCTCCTTGTAGTTAAATGTTCATCTCCATAAAATATTTCTCCCACATTTTTTTAAAAAGGCAGATGTCACAAAGAAAGTTTTCTTGGAAGGAGCATTTGGTCTTGCACTAGAGCAGGGATGTCAAATTCACACTGTCACAGTGGCGTCACATGACATATTGAGACTTCCCCCCTCTTCGCTAAACCAGGCGTGGGTGTGGCCAGTGTGTGATGCATCTGCCCCACATGCCGCGAGCTTGACAGCCATACATTAGAGGGAAAATGGTTCAAAACTAATCTGAGATGAGGACAGGGGTCACACATGGTATGAATTAGTTAAATTAGTTAAATCACCATATGTGCCATATAAACCCAATTGGTAGAGTTACAAATTATGATTTATGATTATCTGAATGTGTGGATTTGGTAGCCAAAACGTGTGTGAATTTTTGGTAGAATTGGAGTTGCATTGGGTAAGGAAACAAGGCAAAGAGGGTGGAGCCTTATCAAATATATATAAGAGAACCTAGGACTTTCAGTATTGTGGGGGTGGTCTAAGGAGAGAGGGAGTGTTTTGTTTCTTAAAACAATTTTAAGCCAATTTTAGAGCTGGCACCACTAGTTTCATTGGGAACCAAGCCAGTGGGTGATTATGTTACGAGAGGACTACAGAGATTTTGAAAAATGCAATTTAGGAACATTCTATGCCTTCATCTATTTTGCAGCTCGAGCTACTTTTGTTTCTCAATAAGCCAGGGTTAACAAAATTGTGACCTAGTTCAATACATGAATCAGAATTTAATCACACCTGGCTATGCATTTGTTAAGCAAAGACCATTTGATACTCCACCTTTGGATCAAGGCCAAGGCCAGCCCGGGCCAAAATGATTGCGAGAGCAATACTTCTTAGTGTGGCTCCCCATTTCACATTGATCAGGACTATGTCAGTGATCACTGGGATGTTTCTTAGAAGAAATCCAACAAGCAACATTCCTAAACAGGAGGCAAAAGGTGCATATTATTGATTGACACAACTGGCAGCTACAAAGTCTGAAACATTTGCTATGAGGTCCAGGACCTTCAAAGATGTTTTCCTTCTCTGTACACTACTTGAACCAAGCATTTAAAAAGGCAACAGCTGTCCTGTGATCATGAAGTCAAAGAATCATATTCCTGCAATCTTATAAAGAGTCCCATTTCCTGATCTCTGAACGCCACAGAAAATGTTTTCCTCCTGAATAAATATGTACAAATTTGTATTCCACTATTTTTTAAATAAATTTAACAATTCTATGGAGCTAATTAGATGAAAAGATACTGAGCATGTTAAACCAAGTTTGTTTGATTTACACAATATGCTATACAAATGGTTTGTACTGCATATTATGTAGAACCAGCTATGGGGCTTTATTAAATAGCAATATATACAGCATGGTTAAATAAGCTATTATTTAGCATGATGTGGGACTTCATCCACATTCTGAGTGGAAACAAATGTGCTAAGTCTAGTCATGATAAGCCAAAATATGGTTGTATTATTCAGAAAACTATAGTTAGCAGCATGGATTTGCATGTTGTGTGAACATACATTTCTTTGATGATTAGAGCCTAATCATCAAAAACTATAAATCAATCAAACATAGAGTTGTAATCTCAAACTTTTTAAGCTGCTATCACAGGATGAACTGAACAATATGACTGCATTCACACAACAATCTAAACTAGACTATTACACTGCCCACTAAGCTGACTTTGGGGTTTTTGTTTTGAATTGTTTTTTTGTGTATGTCTAATTTAGCTTCATATGCCAACCTACCTCTTAGTTTAGCTTATGGGTCAATATTTTGTGTGAACCCTTAATAACTGGGTTAGGGTTAAAACACCAAATGGGACTTAAGGGAATTTGAAAAGTAAAGTACTTACTGCATTGACACATCCCTGGGCCCCAAAACATAGTAAATTGAGAATAAAGGAATTGTTTTTTTTAAAAAAAAGCTAATTAATTTAAATAATCTGCAGGCTGTACACCCATGATGGATCCCTAGAAACTTGTTAGTGAAACAGACACAAATTGAGGCTGTAAACTGAAAAAAATATTAGTTGATAATTTACTTTTAAAGGGGATGATCAATTCATTTTTCAAACTATTTAAAGATCAAGATGAATACTTATTTGAGAAATGGAAACATTTTTGTAAACCGAGCTGTTGCTTTTTAATTTGTACCACTAAGACTTACCATTTTAAAGTCCATTTATAACTATTTATTTTAAGATTCCCTATTATAGGAGTTATTCCAATTAATTTCATCTCAAAACACAAAATCAAATAGCAATCCAAATCCACTCAGAGTCACTACCCATTCCTTTCCATGGTGAGATGGGCAGCATACAAATTTAATGAATACATAAAAAATAAATAAAAACAAGTCGACTTAAGTAACTTTCTCAGTAATTAAAATATATTCACCAAGTAATATTGTGTTTTCCAATCAATTGTATCTTAATGATATAAATTTGTATTATATAGAAATTTCACAATGGATTCTTTATTTCAATAACCAATCTAAATATGAAAAGATACAGCCTATCAAAAACATACTTACCCAAAAGAGGAGGGAGAGGAGGCAGACCAGGAAATTTAATTAAGCCCATAATTTTACCACCAATTACAGCAAAAAGATAGAGGAATAAAAATCCAAAGAGGCTTCCACCAGGAAGACTTTCGTGGGTTGTAATAGACCAGATCACAGCCCAGATCAATGCTACTGCTACCACTGGAAGAAGAAAAAAGTGTAAAATATGTAAGCATATTGAAAATATTACCCAGAATTTATTGACACATTTATATTAATGTATGAAGGATTATTATTTATTTTTAAGTATTCATTGCTAAATTGCATCTTGATTGTGACTTATAAACAAAAAATTGGAAAAAGCAAACCTGTGCTTCGAAGACCATATCTTCCCATTTGTGGCTATAAATCTGCACAATCCTTTCTTATCAATTAGACATGCCACAAAATGCAAACAAATGATGGAAAATGGAGCATAGACTACTGTAACATTTATCAAACTGTAATTTTCAAAGTGGCAGATTGAATGTATGAGAAGTAATTGTGTTAATCATCCCCCATTTCTTGGAATATTATCTTCATCATAAAATTAAAATATCAAATATGGCCCTTGGTCAGAGGCATCCATGGAAAGGGAATCAAAAGATCATGTCACCATGTGACACATAAAAAGGGAAGGCAGGGCTTTGTGGGCGAAAATGTCATTTTTATTTTTTAAAACACCACCATAACACCCTTTCCTTGGCCTAAAATACATTGTGCATAACTACCCAAGGAAATGAATCAGAATTTGTAATATAGAATATTGAGGAAAGGCGGTGGTGACTGATATACTTATTGAATATATTAAAAGGGTCTAAAGGCTGAAATGTATCTAACAATGACACAAAGGGTATGGAACAATAATGTGAAATAAGAGGTATGAATTTGCAAGCTTTGCTTTGGGAAAGGTTAACAATTAATCCCAACTTTCACCCCCTTGTTTTAATACTATAGTATTGTGCTGATTTTAGAGTTCCCAGAATCAATATGTTGTAATACTCCGTCCTCAAATTGCAAGAATATATGCTGTTGATTTTTATCAGTCAGATTAGCAACCTTTGCAGAATAGTTGGACAGAGGCAGGGAGCTGCAAAAATGGAACTCCAAGACTATTTGATTCAGTAGCCTAAATAACCCCTTCTACTCTGTGGAACAGAACGAGACTGAAGAGAGTCCAACTTGTTAGGGACTACTTTCATTGCCCAAGGGAACCAGCATTGTGATCAATCAATACTTTTCTATTGGGTAGAATTTACAATTTCACTAGTCACTCATTAACCTATGAGTAAGTCAGACAGCTAATTGGAAGATAAGGCTGACAAGAAATGGGTGTGGAAGAAAGGAACTGGAATGATATATTCCATTACTCCTATACTTTTCTGCATGCACCACCCAGCATGAATTGTAAGAAGGCTGAAGGGCAAGTCACAGTTTCTTCAGAGCAATTTTCCCATGTTGCCATATTCTAGAACAGATTAAAATATAATACATCAAATAAATATTCTCTACAGAAAACAGGGGCTTTTTTCTTTGTTCTTTTTCCCCCCTCACCGTTTGTTGCTATTTTAGCAAGGATGCCTTGAGGAGGACAAACACATATTTGTCTCCCTGAAGTTTTAAATTGAGCTAGAGGTCCCTGAGCATGTTCCTCGCATCTGTTCAATGGAGCTGTTTCTTTTGTTTGTACAATGCCACTGTTGACTCCGGAATCCAAAACATCCTGAGTAGAAATCAAGAAATAATATTAGTGACAACCATCTAAGTCCTATTTTTTTTTCAATTTTCAAAAGTTAATGAACTCAGTGAGATTTAATTCTAAGTTAAATTTTGTCTGATGGCTATCAGTCTGGAGAAAATTCTTCTATCCATAAATTCTAATAATGGCACCAAATTGAGTAAGAGTAGCTTGAAACAGTTGAATTATATCCAGACAAGAACAGCGGTTGATCAATATGCTTGTTTATGAAAACTGAAGGTCCTTTATGATTTTAGTTCTAATTGAATTATTTTTAGATACATTTGTCTGACTTTTATGCTCACTTCTGGTCTATTTGCAGATGATACAAGAGTGATTGGTCTCATTTGAGATAACGACGAATCTGCATACAGACAGGAGGATGTACAACTTGCCTTGTGGTGTAACAGGAAAATCTGGAACTGAACACACTCAAAACTGTAGAAATGGTGGTAGACTTTAGAAACCTCCCCCTTACAATACTAGACAACACAGTATCAACAGTAGAGACCTTCAAGTTGCTAGGTTCTATCATATCACAAGACCTTAAATGGACACCTAACATCAAAAACATCATCAAAAAAGCACAACAAAGAATGTTCTTTCTGTGCCAACTCAGAAAGCTCAAACTGCCCAAGGAGCTGCTAATACAGTTCTACAGAGGAATTACTGAGTCTATCATCTGCACCTCTATAACTGTCTGGTTTGGTTCTGCAACCCAACAAGACAGACGCAGACTTCAGAGAGTAATTAGGACTGTAGAAAAAAACATTACTATCAACCTGCCTTCAATCGTGGACCTGTATACTGCACGAGTCAAAAAGAGAGCTATGAAAATATCCCGGACATAAACTGTTTCAATTCCTACCCTCAAAATTATGCTATAGAGCACTGCAAGACTTTGCAAGCATTATGCGTAATGCCCATACAAAAGATAAAATAAGATGTACTCCCATTTCTTTGGAGAGTGATAGGTAGGACAAAGAAGTTTTGTGGTTTATAACTGCAATTTAAGAGTGTCTTGATACAATTTACTCCTGCTTAAAAACATGGAGCAGCATTGAGTTTATCACTAATCAGCTTCACAGCTAGCTTTAGGAAATACAGTGTTATTGTTGTACTATTATTGATGGAAGTTTAACAAGATCATCCCCCCCCCCTCCATTCACGTTAGAGGTAGGTAACCCACAGGCTGTGAATTTCCCAACTTCAGGAGGGGTACACAATTCAGGAGCCTGGCAGCTGGCTCCTGCTTACGTATAATGATTGCAAAGTCTTGCAGTCACATATTGTAATTTGCAACCTTCTCAGGAAGCTTCTGACAGAAGTCAATTGGGGAAGCTTAACAACCACTTGATTCATTTAACAATCATGTCAGTTGCTTAAATGTGTGATTTGCTTAATGATGGTGGTAAAATGACCACATCACTTAGCAACTAAAATTCCAGTAGCAATTGTGGTTGTAAGTTAAGGACTATGTGTATGAAACTGCTACAATAGCAATAGCACTTAGACTTATATACCATCCACAGTGCTTTACAGCATTCTCTAAGTGGTTTATGGAGTCAGCCTATTGCTCCCAACAATCCGGGCCCACATTTTACTGACCTTGGAAGGATGGAAGGCTGAGTCAACCTTGAACCTGGTGAGATTCAAACTGCCAAACTGCTGGCAGTTAGTAGAATTAGCCTGCAGTAGTGCAATCTAACCACTGCACCACCACAGCTCATAGTGCATATATATTATCCCTGTGCACCTCATTATTCAAAATCATTACCTAGTCTGGCCTGGTAGTGAGACTTATGGGAATAGCAGGCAGACTGGGAAGTTGAAAAAACACCCTGGAAAATGTCAGTGTTTGATCGTGAGAACCATCTAGCCAACATTCCATCTCAGGAACAATTCACAAGAAGCATCTAACAAGTAAGCATCCCACAAATAGAGTACCAAGTTTCCTCTCCTACTGTCAACTCCATGAATCTAGAATATTAACAGGCAGCAGCCAATAATTAAAGCTGTTTTTAAAGACTTGTAAACCAGCAGCCAATATGTCCTGAAGCAGCACATTCTAAAAGTTGATTATACATAGTATGGAAAAGCATCAATTTTAAATCTGCTAGCACTTTCATAAAACAATTTCTAGTCTAGTATTATGGGATATGGAGAACTTCTTATCACTGTGCACACCTTCATGCATCTTAGTCATATCTTCTTGTGTCATTTATCCCGGCTAAACAGTCCCAATCACTGCATCCTATTCTCGTTCAAACCCCTTATCTTCTAGTTTCCCCTTTCCCCACCTTCCCAGCAATATAATACTCCTCTTGAGATATGGTGACTAGAATATTGTACTGTACACAGTATTCTAGATGTAACAACTCCATAGATTTATATGAGGCCACTAATATCAGAACCAGTTTACAGTCAATCTTTTCTAATGATCCAAAGCATAAAATTCACCTCCTTTAAAAATGCTGCATATTTCTTTACCCCTCTCAAAAAACTATACAGAAGTGTCCATTAAATCGCGGAGGTCAAGCTCAACTCCTCTTTTCTGTGCAAAATTAATAGAACAATGGTACATTGGACTGGTCACTGTAGAGTAAATTGGATGCGGAGTTTAGTGGTTTAGAGAACTTCAGCTCCACTTAGCATAATCAGTATTGAGCGGTGGTGGGAGTTGTAGTTCAGAATTTTCTGCAATAGCTCCATATTTTAGAATGTTCCACTGGATTTCAAGGGAGATTCACCAGACTGGGAAGACTTATGGATATATGAAAGTAACCAAATCACAAACTTAACTATAAAATAACAACAATAACAACAGCAATAACAAATACCTGAGTTGATGCATGCATGGGAATTACATTATTGCTAGCATTTTCAGATAGCGTTGTGGGTTTCCAACTCCCTGACACTGGGTCTTCTGTCATTTTGATCAACCTAATTAAAAAGCAAAAAAAAGCAAAGCAAAGCAAAAAATATAGCATCTAGTTTAAAAAAGATAGCATTGCCAGTAATGAATTAGCATTCATAGACACATGATCATCATTACAACATCCAGTGAGGGCCTACATATGTGATGTGATCAACATAAATCAAAATACTATTTTAAATTGATTGATATGATCTCCTCAAATAATAATTTTAAATGGATTCTGATATGAAATTCATCTAAGCACTTTTTCTTTCTCTCCCTCTTTCTCACATTCCTAATACGCATATATATGCACATGTACATTGGTCCTCAGAATATTCTCTTCCCAGTTTTCTATAACTCCCCACCATGTGCAGAGATAACACAAATTATTTTGAACCACTGGTTGGGGAAATACATGGCTGAGGATGCAAAGAATGTGAGCATTTGCTCTTACCTTGGGTAGACGTCTATCAAAACTCTTCCTAAAGCCAATTCTAAAGGTTAACCTGTTGATGAGAGTAGATGAGGATTATTTCAATTGATTTGATATTTTTTGCTGGGGTTACTTCTGGGTCAGCTTATCCTGAATCACTAGTCACATGAACACATTCTTGATGAAGATGCTAGAATTGGGTGCAAAAATGTGATACGGTCACAAGCACAATGACTGTCTAATGAATATATCCATATGATCAAGCTGACTAACACCAATTTGTGCATGAACTCTGGAAAAGGTTCAGAATAGATTTATGCTATCTGATTAAAATAATGTTTCATCCTTTCCATATATGAGAGTGTGACTCCCAAAGTACAATTATGTACATCTACAACTTGAAACTCAATTATTTTCATTAGCAGTTTCTTTACCAGTTCTGATTTAAAAAAAAATAGTACAAAGAAGTTTTTTTTCAAATGCAGTTTAACTACTAAAATTATTGCCACATTTACTAATACTTGGTAGAAGCAATGATCTGTCTAAGCCTAGACTTGTTCTTTTTATTTGTACATTGGGGAAAAAATCTTTTCATGTCATCTTAAAGAACAAGGTGGTTTTGTTAGTTGGACTGATAATGAAGTTTGCTTTACCTGGTCAAGTGCTGAAACAGGTATAAAAGCACACAATCGAGTGAGCATTAGTGGCTATTCTGCTTTGTGTAGCATGCAAAAATCAAAGGAACATTTCCTATTCGGTGCTCATGGCAGGGAGAAATGGCTAAACCTAATTTCCCGAGAGCATGCCTGTTTGATACATAGTTGTACTAATTACAGCTAATGTAAAATATAGTATATGAGTTTCTAAAAACAATAATAATAAAAGACAGATGGTTCAGTTTTTGCTATTCGTGTAATAGGCATGGCAAACAAAGCTAAACTCCAGAGCTGATTCACATGGAGGGGATGCTGCAGAGGTGACATCCAACAGCAGAATGGAATTTAACTATGTAGCAGATTGGAGAGTTGGCTTGTGGTATTAAATAATCCCAGAAAGATCTGCCAGCTAAAATCTACTTCTGGCGATATTTCTGTTATCAGGTAAGGTTTAGAACGAAGTATCTTCAACTCACAGAACTTTGAACCTTTGCTTAATTGTGCCTTAACATGGTGCCGTTGCTTAAAATTGTGTAAAATAGAGATTAAAAAAAAGCCCCTCCAAGAATGAAGAAGTGGATTACATTTGGCAAATATTAGTTGGGAGAAGACAGGATCCAATAAAGGAGAATATTTGTAGCTTAGGGTTGAAATGAGAGGCCCTTGGTGTTCTCTGAGCTTGCTTGCAGGTAGCATCATGAGGATGATGTCCGCAAGAAAACAAGCAGGCTCAGAGAGCACCAAGGACCCCTCAAGACAGGAACACTTACCATTATGGATTAACTAAGAACAAATTATATTTTAATGGTATACACACACGTATACAATACATACAAAGAGAGGATATACCATGGGTGTCGAACTTGCCGCATCACGTTGCCATCACGTGGCATTTCGTGACGTTTTTCCTTTTCACAGAGTTAGGGTGAGTGTCGCCTGTGTGTGACACATCTGGCCCGCTACCCATCAATTTGACACCCCTAGTATACACAATATTTAATTTTAAAAGGTGCATCTATCTTTGTAACTTTTTTTTGACTCACCTGGGGATACTCTATTGATGCCAAAATAATAATGAAAATCTGAATCAGTCTCCTTGATGGACAGAGTTATTCTAGTTGTAGGAAAATCAGGATCAGATATACAATATTTTTCTAGCATTGTGAATTATACCGATTGTCTAGGTATGTGTATACCTGTATGTGTTTAACTGTAACTGTATGTGTATGTTAACATTTTGGAATTCCTAGCCATGATGCCAAAATGTATTATGTCACAGTGCAAGCTGCAGCCACAAGTGTGGATGTTATTCCTGTAATTTTTTTTGTTTTTTTGCTATTTGCCTGTTTTGGCCCACCTTCTCTTTTCTCCTCCCCATGTAGACATCTATGCAAGAAATAGAGTTTAGTGCTTAGCTCCTCATTTGAATTCAAAATTAAATTAAATTAAAATTAAATTAAATCACATTTAGAAAGGGAGCTTGACACGCTCCCTATCAGCACTGGCATAACATTAAATGCTCTTGAACACAAGTCACTTCTAGGAAACAGTATAAAAACCATCCACCTTCATTTAATTTGTCATTATGTGCATCTAATGAAGACCTATAGGAATGGGCTAGACTAGAGAGTACCTACTAGAAGTGTCTTATTTTCCTTCGGTCTATATTCATTTGTATCAATGCTACTCCTAATATACTTCAAAGCTCCTTTTCTAAAGTGAGACTTGACACTTTATTAGTGTCAAGACACAGAAACAAAAGTTTATAATTAAAAATATTAACCAAATCGCAACTGGCAAGCTTTTAGTGAATAAATGATGCCCAGCAGAGCAGAAGAGAGGCTGATTCTTCTGGACAAGTTAAGACAAGAAATATATAAGAGCTAGCAAGTTATGATTCTTGACCTACAACCATTCGTATTAACCTTACAATGGCACTGAAAAAAGTGACTTATGACCGTTTTTCACACTTACAACCATTGCAGCATCCCCATGCTCATGTGATCAATATCTGCTCTCTTGGCAACTGGTTCATACTTATGACGGTTGCCATGTCCCAGGTCATGTGATCATCTTTGGCGCCCTTCTCACAAGCAAAGTCAATGGGGAAGCCAAATTCACTGAGCCAGCATGTTACTAAACTAACTTAACAACTGCAGTGATTCACTTAATAGCCGTGCCAAGAAAGGTTGTAAAATGGGGCAAAACTCCCTAAACAATTGTGTCGCTTAGCAACAGAAATTTGGGGCTCAATTGAGGTCGTAAATCGAGGTCTACCTGTAATCTACACTCTCTTAAAATCTTCCAACTCGTGGGGTGGACACGAAGAGTGGGCACGGGTGGGTCACGTCCCCAGCACCTTGCTCTCCATCTCGGTGCTATATAGATCGATTCACGAGCAAGGATGGAAACGGCGGTAAGTAAGTAGTAGTTCGGGGATGCACCACTGTGAATGTATCTGCCCGATCAGGATAGCAAAAAAGCTCTGAGATTACAACCCACCTAGTCCAAAGCAGTTCCCGGAGAGCGGCTGATCCCTTGCAAGAAGCCTTCAGAGATTACAACGGAGGCGGAGGCTGGTCCCCTGGTTATCCGCCTTTGTCAAGAGTAGATGAACCGTCCCGATTGTCAACCCATTCAAGCGGGTGAAAGAAAGCAGCCGCTGGTTGCAGCGTTGACTGCTTGGCGCCGCTGCCTCCTAGCTAACCCTTCGCCTGGTTCCGCGGTCAGGCTGCCGATATTAATAACGCTCCCCTCCCTTCGGTGTGGCAACGGGAGGAGGAGCGGCTGGGAAGAGCCTCTCTGCTGGCGAGGAAAACATTCGCTGTACGAGCCGTCGCGGCAGCCAGCGCCAAGAGGGAGATTTTCCACACACACCCCTCACCCGGGTTGAAGGAGATCCGCTTCTGTTTTCCAAAACCCGCCGATCCTCTCGGAGGACCGTGTCGTTTTAGACCACGTGGTTTCGGAGGCGCCAGCCAGCGTGTTGCCCCCCCCCCCCGGGGGGTTGAGAGGGGAAAAAAAAAAGAGAGACATTATTGTACGCGGGACGATCAAAAACGGACGAGGAAAAAACGTAACGATAATAGCCACATGGCGTTCTCGACCAGGCTTGCACAACGTGGTTTGTGGCCCAAGCCACCCTCGCTGCGTTGGCATACAGTACACGGGTGTTGATAAGCCGCCGTAGCCACGATCCAGGCCAAAATTAAACAAGCAATTTTGCCGTTTTGTATAAAACCAAGCCGCTGTAATGCAAATATGAGCTGTGATTGAGAGGACTCCTGCGGATGTATTTGTAACGGTGCTGAAGTGTTTTTCCACCTGTGCAGGGGATCCGCTGCCAAAAATCGTGGGCTTTTCCCACATTGGGTCTGGATGCAAATGGAGCATAAGCCAGTGAAACGGGTGGTATATGGAGAGGGAGAAAGTATAAACTCTGAAAAGTTTTTCATACTTCAGGTTGGTATGCTTGCTTCCAGAGAGCATGTAGGCCATGGACATAAATATCCAAGGCAACCAGCATGGTCCATTACAACCTTATTATTAGTCACAAAACACTTCTGGCTGCAGTGGGCAAAACTTGAGAACTGTAAATAAATCAAAATATTCTTCTGACTTCTTATAATCCCGATCCTGCTGCCAAGGCAAAGCCCTGGTAGGACACCTGATCTCAAATTATCCTCTCCAGATTAAAGCATCCCTTGCTACAGGTGCCATGGGTGTACTAGAGTTCTGGTCTAATTGTTTCTTGAAATCCTGAATTTGTATTATATGGCTATTCATTTAGCTTAAACAAATCAGGAATCCATCCCCAGAGCAAACTGTTTTGTGCTTTGTTAAACTGCTCTTAGATCTATACACTTTGTCAGTCTTACCTAAAGTCTGACCTTTATGTCCCTAACATAAACTCATCATCTTTTCTCCTAATTCTGCTAGAGAATGTGATTATTTTGTTCTCCTTGTTAATTTTATTTGATGTTGAAATTCCTGGGTGCCTCTTAAAATTCACCTTGGTATCTTCAAAGTGCTCTTATTCAGTATACTCTTGGCTCCTTTTGTGTTATGATTATAGTTAAAATAGTCCATGGCTAATATGTCTCTAATAATTTGCCTTTGAAAACCATGTGCTGATAAAACAAATCTTTATTTTAAATTAATTTATCCACTCCTAAAAGGAAATAGTGGTGTCCCAGAACTGAGCACAATCAGCAGACGGAAGACACGGATACTGTAGGAAAGCCAAGTGAAAGTTTATCTCATATACTGATTTTTTTTAAAAAATGAACTACACTTATTGTAAAACATTGCTGTGTATCTGTGTGCCTATTGTAAGCAGAGAGAAAGGCATTACGGTTGCTTGCCATTTAAAAATTAAAAGTAAAAATCTAGGCGAGTATTCTGGCACTGACGATTGGCAACTGAAAGAATCTTGGACTTGAAAGAAGCAAAGCAAAAAGGTTGATAAATATTTTTCACATTTCAGAGAACTCTTGCAGCTGGCAGCATCTGAATGATCTTGTCTGATCTTAGAAACAAAATACCGCCTAAGGAATACAGTGGCTGTAGTCTGGAACTTGGAAATAAAAAGAAAAATTGATCCTAGATGAGGACAATGGCAATTTATCTGAAAAACAGTGTAGAAATGACCAAGTCATCAGAAATCAAATGTACCAAGGGAAACTACCTTATTTTCATTCATAATTATCTTTATTACCTTGATAAAATTCAAGGTGGCTAATATGCCTAATTCTCCTCCTATTGTCCCCCACAACAACAACCCTGTTAGGTCAGCTGGGCTGACAGAATAACTGGCTCTAAGTCACCCAGCAATCTTTCACGCCCAAAGTGTAATGAGAACTTATGTTTTCCTGGTTTCTAGCCTGGTGCCTTAAGCATTCGATCAGACTGGCTTTCTACACCAAACTGCCAGTCCAACAATAGAAGAACTGGCTCAAATGAAGTTAACAAAGGAGCAATAAATCTATTGTGTGAACAGTCTTTTAGAAACTGATAGATTATCCTCCATCGAATACTTAATAAAGTGTATGAATTTTTATTATGGTAATTTGATATAATTGTTACATGTACTTTTTATCTTCTGGGATACTGAGGACACTAATTTTCCGGTCGAATGTCTGCAGAAGCTGCTCATATGCTCCATCCACCATCAATGATGCATTCATTGCCAGTCATGTAGGCTGACTGAAATTTAGGACAAAAAAAATACGTTAGAAAATAAAAGCAAACCTGGCATTCAAATGATGAATAATAAGCATAGAAATAAATGTTGAATATTAAAATGCTTCAGAAATGAATTTGATTTCTAATAGAAGGAAACACTAATAAGATTTAATCCACACAGTGATAATGTGGCTTAATTGGTTTTGAACCTAGTAATGAACTACAGTGGCTCGAGTCCAAACATTGCAAATTTCCCTGCACTCATTTTTCTTCATGTTTGTCTGGATCTTTAATCAAACTATGTATTTAATAGAAATCTACAGGTGAAACTCAAAAAATTAGAATATTGTGCAAAAGTTCATTTATTTCACTAATGCAACTTAAAAGGTGAAACTAACATATGAGATAGACTCATTACATGCAAAACAAGAAGTTCAAGCCTTGGTTTGTCATAATTGCGATAATTATGGCTTACAGCTCATGAAAACCCCAAAGTCACAATCTCAGAAAATTAGAATATTACATGCAATCAATAAAACAAGGATTGTACATAGAATTGGACCTCTGAAAAGTATAAGCATGCATATGTACTCAGTACTTGGTTTGGGCCCCTTTTGCAGCAATTACTGCCTTAATGCAGCGTGGCATGGAAGCTATCAGCCTGTGGCACTGCTGAGGTGTTATGGAAGACCAGGATGCTTCAATAGTGACCTTCAGCTCTTCTGCATTGTTCGGTCTCATGTCTCTCATCTTTCTCTTGGCAATGCCCCATAGATTCTCTATGGGGTTCAGGTCAGGCGAGTTTGCTTGCCATTCAAGCACAGTAATCCCACAGTCATTGAACCAAGTTTTGGTGCTTTTGGCAGTGTGGGCAGGTGCCAAGTCCTGCTGGAAAATGAAGTCAGCATCCCCACAAAGCTTGTCTGCGGAAGGAAGCATGAAGTGCTCCAAAATCTGGTAGACGGCAGCATTGACCCTGGACTTAATGAAGTACAGTGGACCAACACCAGCAGATGACATGG